GCCACTTCTGGCTTTTTTCTTTTTGCTTATGTGGTGCTGAGGAGTCGAACCCAGGGCCTCATGCATGCAAGGCAAGCACTCTACCACTGAGCCACCTTTCCAGCCCCAATATCAGCTTTTTCATACAGAGCTAAAGATCCTATTCCATATACTCGAGCTGGCTTCAGCTCTCTCTCCACACGGGAATATTTTGCTGCTGCTACCATTTTCATAGATTTGGTAATTTTCTGGATGTTTTTGATCGACTTCAGTGGCCTGGTTATATCTTTCTTTCTTTTTTTGGGGGGGGTCTGGTCATGGGGCTTGAATTCTGGGCCTGGGCGCTGTCCCTCAGCTCTTCAGCTCAAGGCTAGCGCTCTACCACCTGAGCCACAGCGCCATTTCCAGGTTTTTTTTTTCCTGCTCATGTGGTGCTGAGGAATTGAACCCAGGGCCTCATGCATGCAAGGCAAGCGCTCTACTATTGAGCCACCTTCCTAGCCCGCCTGATTATATCTTTCAACGTCACCATCTTTCAAACTTGGATCCTTGCTGAAGGTCGAGCAGGCGGACCTAAAAGTTTTATATCTTTGAATTTTTTTTTTCTTTTGGCTATGCTTGATCAAAGTCATTGTAAAGCTGAGTAATGGTGTGATTCATGCCTGTAATCATAGCAACTCTGGAGGCTGAGACCTGGTTCACAGCTAGCATAGGTAGAAAAGTCTGTGAGATTCCATCTCTAAAATACTAACCAATTGGTAGAGGGCCAGCCTTAAGTGAAAAAGCTAAGGGATAACACCCAGGCCCTGAGTTCAAGCCCCAGTAACCACCTTACCCCCGCCCCCCAACAGGAGGAAGTGGATAAGGACAGATGTTTAGGAAATGTTTTTCCTTCTGACAAAGAGAGTATCCCTTGGGGAGCTCAAACAATCACTGACAGTTCTTGGAAGTCCCCAGTGCCATACCCAACTCAAGAACCCGCCTGAGGTGGAGGCTGGGCGTGGTTTCACAGTCTACAGTGAGGCATTCGGAACAGTCAGACACTGGTGACTGGAGGGGATAAGCAGGTTGGTCCCTGGAGTACTGAGGCCATTATGGCCTGAGAGTGTGTGACAGAGGCCTGAGAATCACTAGTTAACAAGCATAGGGGTTCTTTTTTTTTGGGGGGGGGTCCGGTAGTGCGGCCTGAACTCTGGGCTTGGGCGCTGTCCCTCAGCTCTTCAGCTCAAGGTGAGCAGTCTCCCACTTGAGCCACAGTGCCACTTCCAGCTTTTTCCTTATGTGGTGCTGAGGAATCGAACCCAGGGCCTCAGGCATGCAAGGCAAGCGCTCTACCACTGAGCTACCTTCCCATCCCCAAGCATAGGGGTTCTTAAGGAGACCTTGAGTCTAAAACTAAAAAGTAACAAATACAATGTGAGCCACTTACATAATTTAAAAGTCCTAAAAAATAAAGCCATCTTTTTTTTTTTTTCTTCCAGTCCTGGGGCTTCAACTCAGAGCTTGGGCACTGTCCCTGAGCTTTTTCTCACCCAAGACTACCACTTTACCACTTTGAGCTACAGCACCATTTCCAGTTTTCTGCTGGTTAATTGGAGATAAAGAGTCTCAGACTTCCCTGCCCAGGCTGGCTTTGAACCATGATTTCTAGATCTCAGCTTCCTGAGTAGCTAGGATTACATGGGTGAGCCACTGGTGCCCAGCTAGTGGCCACCTTTTATTTATTAATTTATTATTATTATTTTGTAGTGGGGCTTGAACTCTGGGCTTGGGCGCTGGCCTTGTGCTCTTCAGCTCAAGGCGAGCGCTCTACCGCTTGAGCCACAGCACCACTTCCGGTTTTCTAGCGGTTTATTGGAGATAAGAGTCTCATGAACTTTTCTGCCCCTGCTGGCTTTGAACCCTGATCTTCAGATCTCAGCCTCCTGAGTAGTTAGGATTACAGGCATGAGCCACCGGCGCCCAGCTTATTATTATTATTGTCAGTCATGAGGCCTTAACTCTGGGCCTGAGTGCTATCCCTGAGCTCTTCAGCTCAAGGCTTGTGCTCTACCACTTGAGCCACAGCTCCACTTCTGGCTTTCTGGTGATTAACTGGATATAAAAGCTTTATGGCCTTTCCATCCCAGGTTGGCTTTGAACCTGGATCCTCAGATCTGTCTCTTGAGAAGCTAGTATTAAAGGTGTGAACCACCAGCACTTGGCAATACCTGCATCTTGATCATTGTCACTGTTAGGTTTTTAAAAAGAGATAGCCGATTAAGAACTGCACCAGCACGCACGTGGTATTCAGGTAAGGGGTAGGTTTATTCAGTAGACCTGCTGGGACCAGGCAAGGTTGGCACTCCACGTGGCTGGGAAAGGCCTGGGAATGAGAGAGAGCTGGGAAGAGAGGAAAGAGAGAGAGAAAAGAGCCAGAAAAGAGCAGAGAGAGGGGTAAGAACAGTAGCACGCACGTGGTATTCAGGTAAGGGGTAGACCTGTTGGGACCAGGCAAGGTTGGCTCTCCACGTGGCTGGGAAAGAGAGGAAAGAGCTAGAGCAGAGAAAGAGCAGAGAGAGCTAGAAAAGAAGAGCAAGAGCAAGAGAACGTCTGGGCCTGGGCTAGGCCTTATGTAGGGTATAGGCAGGGAAAGGTGTGGCCACATCAAATTCAGATGTGACCTAAGTGGATGCAGATGTGACTTCTTCCAGGTGCTCCAGTTGCCTAGGTAACGCAGGTACTGGGTGGAGACTTTGCTGTGAGGAGGGTGGAGTCTGCTCGCCATCCAGGAGTGGACCTTACAGTCACCACTTCTATCATTCTCCCTTACCTCTCCCAACCCCTCCATCCCAAGTCACTCAGTTCCTTATTACATGGAATATGACTGTGCAATGAATACAATGTATTCCCCCACCTTTCCTCTCTCCTTTTGTTTCCACTCCTTTTTACCCCACACCAAGTATTATTTCAACATGTCATCAATATAAAAGTATTAACATAGGGCTGGGAAGGTGGCTCAGTGGTAGAGCGCATGCCTTGCATGCCAGAGGCCCTGGGTTCGATTCCTCAGCACCACATAAGCAAAAAGAAAACCGGAAGTGGTGCTGTGGCTCAAGTGGTAGAGCGCTAGCCTTGAGCTGAAGAGCTGAGGGACAGCACCCAGGCCCAGAGTTCTGGCCCCATGACCGGATCCCCCCCCCCAAAAAAAAGTATTAACACAAAGGTTTCCATTCTTTTTTTTGTACTGAATCTTGAGCACCTCTGTTTTCCCTAGTCAAACTTCAGAGGCTGGGTAACCACAAGCAGCTGGTAGTGCAAGGAGGGTCCAGGCTGGAGCCCTTCCTGCAGAGGCAGTTTCCTCTGTATCCTTGTGCCTGGCAGACAATGAGGGGCCAATGACTGACAGCCGAGCTTGGGTGGCCTCACCTCTGGGCTTCCTGGGATGCTGTGGGGGTTCAATAAAAGGATGCATAAGTGGTGCTCGGTGCAGTGGCAGGCATTTAGGAGCCTGAAGCATGCTTGCTGCTGTTGGAACTTCCTCAAAGGCAATTCAAGGGTAGTCTGCCTCAGGATCCCTTAGATGAGTCACCTCACTCCACCAGGTGGAGGCTGCTTCTCTAAAATTACTAAATGCATTCATTCCAGAGCTGAGAGATGCCCTGGGATCATGTTTTGGGGCAATGAACTCTCACATCCTTGCCCATGTCTTTTACCCTGTGACAGCTCGAGGCCCTGCCCCGCCCCGCCCCGCCCCGCCCCGCCCTGGCAGACGCCGGCCAAAACTACAACTCCCAAGCTGCACTGGGTGTCTCGAGGTTGTACGTCATCGGCTTGGGACGCGATGAACTGGAGCTCCAAGGCGCATTTCGAAGCGCAGAGCCGCGGGACCCTGAGATAAGGAGAGGTCGGGGTGAACTGCCGGTGCTCGGAATCTACCGGCTGACCCGGGCGAAGCAGCCAAACCGCAGCGGCCGGTGACGCGCGCGCCCGCCCCTCCCCCGGCCTCTCCCGTGGGTGGCGCTCGCTAGTGACGTATGGATGTGATGGCCGCCGCGAGGCCGGGAAGGTGAAGGTGAGAGGGAGAGCGAGCCGGGTTGGTGGGACCCGCCAGCCTCGACTTGGAAAGTCCTGAGCAACCCGACCTGGGTGGGTGGGACTCCGGGGTCCCGGGGCTCCGGAGGAGGCCAGGCGGGCGTCTGTCCCCGCGCTCCCGCCGGAGCCGGGGAGGCCTCGGCGGCCCTGAGGAAGGGGCGGGTCGCGGGCTGGGGCCTGGGGGCCCTTGAAGCCCCGTCGCCCGTGCTTCCCCAGCAGCCACGGCCTCATCCCCGCCCCGGCCCCCTGCTTGTTTTTCATCCAGCCCCCTTCTTTGCCCAGCATGTACTCGGCACAGTTGGTGGCTCCGTTCACTGCCCGAGAGCCCTGCCCTTCCCTACGTTGGGCGCCCATTGCGGTCCATCCTTAACACTGCACTGTAAGGCCCTTCTTCCACTGTAAGACTCTTCTTGTCCAGCCCTAATCCTAGGGCCTAGCATAGAAAATGATGACAGCCGTGACGCTTCTGGGATGTGGAAAGACAAAGCTGCTTGTCCCCCTTTGATGCTCCATCATCTCTCTCCCTCCTTTCCCAAGAGGGCTCTGATGGTCCCTTAGAACAGAGAATGAAGATTCTTCATGGGACACTCTGGCTTTCAGTCGGTCCCACTTTTCTTCCTCCAGTGACCCTTCCCATCTCTTTTTGGCTTTTGACCACTCACCAAGCCCAGGCCTTGTCCTGGTTCTGGGATCTCCTGCCCTTCCTGGCTGTACATGTGCCTTTGCCTCGGCCCCTGCAGGGGACCTCCCTCCCTAAAGCCTTGCACCAGCACATGGCTGAACACGTGTTTGTGCACACCTAGGGCTGTTCCTACACCTGTGTGTTGTTTTTCCCAGTACTCGAATGAGTAAGCTTCCCTCGGGGATGATTTGTTTGGCTTTAAAACTTGATTAGACATGCTATGCATACCAGATTTTTTTTTCTTCCCCCTTCTGTTGACTCCTTTTTCTTTCCAATACACTGGGACAGGTGGAGTCAACACAATCACTAGCCAACCACAACCTGAAACAGCACAAGAGGAGAAATCAACTTCTTTCCATCTTTTTGACTACAGCTATGTCCACGATGCCCACCCTGTGAAGGTGTCTTACCATCCAAAAAGTAAGTGTTCCCTGGACCTGGGTTGAATAAAAGGGCCATGCTCTTGCCTCTGTCCTTGGGTGGCAAGTCTCTTGGAGGGGTCCTCATGAGGTCCTCGTTGCTGAGAGCTGGTGCCTCCAACCTGTGTAAAAAAAAAAAAATTAGAAAACTGCTGTATCTCCTCGCTACTCCCACAGGCTTTCAGTAGTGACTGAAAGCCTGTTTATGGATAGACAGTTGAGAAAGTAGCCAGCATCTCCTGGGCTTCCTGAGAAATTAGTCTGTCTTTCTCCCTTGTGTGTTTCTCGCCTGCACTGTCTCTCCTCCCCCTTCTCTGCCCAGCAGAGGTTGGCTCCTTATCACAGCTCTTCAAAGAGTCTGCCCTGCCCCTTTACCCTGTATACTCTTTTGTTTCAATTTCTCAGCATCTCCTCTGTTCCAGTTGTGCCAGCAGACGATCCGTGGATCCATTTTATTTTCCCTGCTAGGAGTTGGCTGTGCATAAAACTGGGTAAGGAGGTAATGTGGATTCCGGGACTGTGCTTGGGATCCAGACACACCTGGCGGTAGATTGTGCTACTGCTCTTCCTGTACCCCACCTACTTAATATTCCTCAACTAATAAATAGTCTAGGTCAATGTAAAACTTCTGATCTACTGGAGTAGTACTAGCAGCTTCTGTTCTGTTTGTTTCCAGGCTTAGGCTAATATTTGTTGGTTAATGTAAAGCTTCTGATCAACTGGAGTAGTACTAGCAGCTTCTGTTCTGTTTGTTTCCAGGCTTAGGTTAATAGTTGTTGGCACAGAATAGATGAACTTTTCCCAAATAGGATCCTCAAGCCTGTTACATAGAAGATGAGTGTCTTTCTTGAATAAGTTTGTTTAATGTTGATCAAATATGGTTACACTTTTTTTTTTTTTTGTCGGTCGTGGGGCTTGAACTCTTGGCCTGGGCGATGTCCCTCAGCTCTTCAGCTCAAAGTGAGCGCTCTACCACTTGAGCTACAGTGCCACTTCCGGTTTTCTGGTGGTTTATTGGAGATAGGAGTCTCACGGTCTCTCCTGCCTGGGCTGGCTTTGAACCTCGATCCTCAGATCTCAGCCTCCTGAGTAGCTAGGATTACAGGCGTGAGCCACCAGCGCCTGGCTAAATATGGTTACACTTTTTAAACTGGTTACTCTGTTTTTAAACCTTTCTTCCCAAGCATTTACTATGTTCCTATGTGCCCATGGAGAGGTTTGGTGATGTTTTGTGTATTACATTGCTTTTGTAGTGTGGAACATTGGGTGCAACTAGAATTCTATGGGCCACCTTTTGGGAAATGCTCTGAAGCCAGGGTCTCCAGAACACTTGGAGGTTGTTATAGACTCTTAGAGTGTGTCAATTAGTGCATAACTGATACTGGAACTGAGTGGTCTGGTTCAGCTGTGGTTAGGGAATAGGCCCCAAGTGCTTGTGGTCAGTCTCTTGCTGGCCTGGAGCCTATTAGGGCTCCCAGAGCAGGCACGAGAGCCCAGCTGCCTCTCACCACCCCGGGAGAGGGAGAGCCAGCAGGCAAAGCCTCAAGATAGTGGGGCCCTGTTGTGGCTTCTGTAGGTGTATTTCACAGCTATGGACCTTTTGTGCGTTTGTATATAGCCAGTTTGTTCTTTGGAGGGATTACATTTTAACTCTTGACTCATTGAGCTGCAGATAACTTAGCAGAAAACAGGTTTTTTTTTTTTTTAAACTGTATTTTTTTTGTCTTTTCTTTTTTGGTACTGGGGATCGAACCCAGGACGCTGCGCTTGCTAGGCAAGCGCTTTGCCACTGAGCTACATCCCAGCCCTGTTTTTTGTTTTTTTAAAGTGAGTTTGTGTGTTCAGGGCTGGCAGGTGTGAGATGGCTCCCCCTAGAGGGTTTGCACTTACCCCAGAGCTCTGACAATGTCTGTCTCTCTGGAGGCTCAGGGTCTCTGCAGGGACATGGGGTGTGATTTATTAAAAAAAAAAAAAAAAAGTAAGGTTGTGTGTGTCCTGTATGGAGTGGGTGACACTTGAGTTCCCTTGAGTAAGAATGTACCAAGTGGGTGAAAAAGAGATAGGGTTCCAGGCAGAAAGCAGGATTCAATGCAGAACCTCAGCTTGGGAATTAGGCAGGCCGGAAGAATCTGACAACTTGGAGGTGTCGCTGGCAGCTTTCGTGTGGTATAGCACGTGGCGGGTAGTGTGAGAGCAGAGTGGATCCTGGATGGGCTGAATGCCCAGCAGGCCTGTAACCTGTAACCGAGCTTTCAGTAGCGTGCATGCCCTTGACTCCCACACTTAGGAACGCTGATGCTTCTGTGTTTGTATCCTTGGAGCTTGAAGGCAATGAACAGAACTTAGGAGCACTTGCTTCGAAAAGCCCGGCTTGCTCTCAGGGAACTTTTTCCTGCAAGCAAGTCACTTGTGGGTCTGGGCACTGCCGATCTCCATGGGAGGGGGATGGGGAGTGGTGAGTTTGTGCCTTTGCTTCCCTGAAGGCTGGTGTTGGTGGGGGAAACATCCTGTCATCTTGCTGGTGGGGTTTATTATTGTTGTTGCTTTAAACCATGTAAAGCTACCTTTGAGCTCTTACTGTGTGCTCAGAATGTTGCTTTCTGCTTGTACACATGAAAAAACCAAGGTTTTGAGGTGAAATCACCTGCTTAAGTTCATGCAGCCCACAAAGAGTACAATCCTGACTTGCACTCAGCCCTGCCTAATTCTCAGGTCTTTGATGTGCTGTCCGTCCCATACCCCTTTGCTTTTCCCCAAAACCCCTGATCTCAGTGACTCTGAGAGGAGCTGGAGAATCATTTTATTCCTGGTGCCTTTGCTCAGGGCCCCACTGGCTTTCTTGGTTAAGACATTTCTCATGGTTGTGATGTTAACTGGAGGAGAAACAGAAATGGGGACTCTAGCTGCACCAGAAAGCATGGAGTTGAACACGCTCACTGTGGGATCTCCTTGTAGAGTTATCTGTCTGCCCACCTTGGGTGGTTGATTCCTAACAGTCAGTTCTGGCATTCAGTTGGTGTGCTTTTTCTAGATGCTCTTTCTTTCTGTGTCTCAAGGCCTTGTTCTGCAACCTTTGGCATCCTTTGGAAGTTTCTCCTGTGCTTGCTCATGAACAACACTTTCTTGTTGGGGCAGAGGCCAGTGGCACTGTGATGAGGGTGATTAGGGAGAGAGAGGACCTGTCACACAAAGCTGCACATGTGCCTCAGGTCCAGGGAGGAGCCTTTTTCCTTTCCCTTCCTAGAGTCTGCAGAAGTGCTGGGGAGGTAGTGCTATCCGTGATTGGAACTCTGGGAAGGACCAGGCAAGGCTCTATTTTGGGGAGTAGGCGTTCCCAGCCATACCGTCTCTGGTATGTGTGCCCTTGTTATCTTTGACCAAAGGCCTGTAGAATCTTGGAATCAAGTCAATGATAAAAGACATCAAGAAGCTGGGTGCTGGTGGCTTATTCCTATAATACTAGCTATTCAGGAGGCTGAGATCTGAGGATTGTGGTTCAAAATCAGCCTGTGCAGGAAAGTCTGCATGACTCTTGTTTTTTTCTTTTTGGGTCTGGTCATGGGGCCTGAACTCTGGGCCTGGG